TTTAAAGTAATAAAAAGGGATTGACTTGCTTTGAATAAACATCAAGAACCCAATGAAAGTGTCACACCACAGCGGAGGGGCCGAGCCGCGGGGGGGGGGGGGCGTTGAATTGTAAATAGACATTTGCATATATATATATAATATCTTTTGTATCTTTTGTATACATGAGATTTTTTTTTTTTATTTTTACAACATCGCACACGTAAAAACAAACAGAAAAAAAAAATAATGTATACGGTTATATCAATATATGTAAAATAAATATTACTAAATAATGGAATTCTAAATAAGAATGCAGAACATGCTTCATGAATGAAACAAGTAAGATTTTATTTTTAGATCGAAACAATTCATGTTTTTATGGGTGATCATTTGTTCTGCATAATGCCTTTGTTTTTAGCATCAAATCTAAACATAACATATAGTGATCTCGAAGAATTTCCAAATCGAATTACAGGCGAAATACAACTCATAAAAAAAAAAATTTTGTTTATCTGTTTGGCAGAAATAAATAAATGGTTGATCTATTTTAGAAAATTAAATGAAAATCTATTTATTAATGAATAAAGAAAATTAGCGGAATAATCCAATTTGAGAATTATCCAATGGCGTACATTTGCCTGAAATTCTATTTACTACAAGTAATATTGGCAGTAGTAATATATGATCTTACTATAAAGATCTTAAAATATCCAAAAGAAAGGTTTCATTAAATAATCCCAAATTCAACCATCTTATTGAAGATATCATTTTAGGCACGCGTTTGTATGTCACTAATTCAATAAAAATATCTTTTTCGTTTAGTTGCGTTTTTTTTTTCTTTATGATTCGATAGTTATTAAGGCGGCGTTTGATATTGCATAAATAACTACTTTGATATCAAGGCATTTTTTTTTTTTAAATTTGTTTTCCAAAATAAGAGTTTAGAAACATAATAATTCAATATTTTTAAACAAGCACATCATATTTCTCATACTAGCGAAATTTGATGATTTTTGAGAAATAACATTATTTTTATTTAAACGATAATGCCTCTCGATAAATATTCGCCATTTTTGCTCAAAAGTTTTTTTTATTTTTTTTTGCATTTGAAAATAATCAATACGCTACTTTTAATTTTCTCAGAGTGCAAATTTTTTTTTATAAACCAATGATTCGAATTAAAGCTTTATCCGGCACAAAACTTTATCTATTAATATGATGTATATTCTAAAATAATAAAACAAAGCATCTATACATTTTATATATAACATTTTCTATGTATTTTTTTTTTTTTTTTTTATCGTGTCTATAAAAAAATTTTCCTAACAATAACGCACGTAAAGCAAGCCTCACTTGATAACCAATTACCTTCATTTATTAAGTCATTATAATAAAATAATTTCAAACGGTTCTTTTTCACCCTTGATTAATTGATTCTGAACTTCTTTTTTATTTTATATATAAACCCTCGTCAAAGCACCTTCAAAATCGAAAAAAAATTTTGTAAATTTGTCAAAAAAAAAAAAAAAAAGAAAGAAAGAAAGAAAATAAATAATCAATAATGACACGAACTTTAGGCCTTTACTTCATATTGGCCCTCCTCTCTTCTATCATGATAATATTCGTTGATGTAAATGATACTGCTCCTGTTCCTGCAAATACAAAATTTACGGGAGATGCCACTTTCTTTGATACAGGACTTGGAGCTTGTGGTAGAGTTAGCAACAACGGCGAATTAATTTTTGCTCTTCCTTCTGTAATGTTTGACCCCTCTCCCGGTGGTAATCCAAATAACAATCCCAATTGTGGAAGACTCGCAACTGTTACGCGTGGCGCAAATTCAGTAACTGTCATGTGCGTAGATCGGTGTGTCGGATGTAAATCTGGGGATATAGATTTATCTCCAGCTGCTTTTAATCAAATTGCAAATCCAGATGAAGGTCGAGTCCTGGTTTCGTGGTCATTTATAAACTAATTCTCAATTGATTAATTGATGAACATTTACACTCAAACGTAATAAAATCAAAAAATGTACATAAATAATTAGGAACCGTCAATATTCTTATAAAGCTTTACCTTATAGAGTTTTAGATATAAATTCCTTGTTTTTTTTTTTTTTTTTTTCTTTTTTTTTAGAAATCGCAATTTAATTTATTCAAACCTGTATACTATTTAAATTTATGTGTATAAAAGAATTGAATTCAAATTCAATATTATTTTTCGTTCAATAAATCACGTGAAATCAAATGACTAAAAAAATACTAAATGTGGCTATGCACCAATATTTGCATTTTATGAGAAGTTAAAGCTATTAAGCTGATTGCTTATACATTAATTTGGAATCTGAATTCAATTTAATTTTGAACATATATGAATATCATAAATAGTTATTACAATGAATCAAAGATATTTAACAAATACAAAAATAATGTGTAATATACATTCATTACATAAATCTCTTTTTTTTTTTAAGTACAAAATTGATTTATTGTGTGAAATATTTTGCAAAAAAGGAATTAAATAAGAAAAAAAAATTACAAAGAATTTATGAAGAATAAAAAGATTTAATACGTCTAATTACAATTATTGTTCTTTTTTAGAAACTGATGTTTCGGAATCTAAATATTGACCAAACTTATCGGCAGTTGCTGGGTGCCCTTGCTGCAAAGTACTATAAACTTTATCTTTTCCGACTTTAATAATCTCTGAGGCAATCATTTGAACGAAGGTTTCGACAGGTCCAAATAGATTTAATGAATAGATTATAAAACCAATGAATCCAAAAAAGCTAACGAGTATAAGATACGTTGGTGATGTGAGGATTACCACGAATTCGTTCCAACCAAGCAAAACTAAAAAAAGGGTGTCAATATTCACATCTAAAAATTTAAACAATTTACGCAACAATTAAATTTTAAATAGCAACTTACCGAGCAAAAGCAATACCCAATACGGCACACGAGCCGTGGTCTGTACAACAGATCGTTTAGCTTCCAGGTAAAAGGCATCAGATTCACGTTTGAAACGAACATTTAAATCATGTTGTTTTGTTTCAGAAAGGATGACTAATGATTCCTCGAAAATAAAGTCCTATGCAACAAATAAACATTATTATATATTACCAATCATCCGTACATTTAATTTGTACTAAATACATTAAAAAAACTTACATCATCCGAAGGAATATCTAAGTCTATACCATCAGGAATTTGAACTTTGGCAAACAATGGTATTAGTTTAAGTGCCTATAATGAAATAATGTAATAAAGATCAACTTTAGTCATTGTATATGATTGACAAAGCTTTAATCAATTTGAATGCAATAACTAACATCTTCTCTAGCCTTTCTGAAATGTGCATCGATGTCATCATCAGGCTTCCAAACTTTTGGTAATCCTTCTTCATCATATCTGAACTTTTCTTCAAATCTAAAAAAGAAAGATTGAATAATCAGTTTAATCCTGGTTCATGTTCAAAATCATAATCGTGTTGGTTAAATATAAAATGTCAAGCACACCTCTCACGTAATTTAAGCAAAAACATATTATCAGCGAGTTCATCATCTATTTTTTTTCGTAACTGTTGCCAAGATCTTTTTCGAAGATTTTCGAGAGATTTAGTGTTCTCTTCTTCGGATGAATTAAAACCTAATTGAATTTAAGAAAATACGGTTATTATAGAAAATATTAACCTTTCAATTGATATGAACTTATGGTATATACGTAAACATACTCTTAGCTTTCTTAAGAAGTTGTTGTTCAGCCTTTTGTAAAACTTCTTGGAATTTCCCAATAATCTTCCCCCACATATCTGTGGTAGGTGTTTTAAAATATAAAGAAACGAACTCGTTGATTTGTGTCTGAACTGTTTTCTGCAAATTTTTTTTTTTTTTTAAAAAAAATCAATAAATTTTTATTATACAAATTTCAAACATATTTTATATAAATGAACAATAATTCTACCTCCAAATTCTTAATCATCTTTTTTGTTTCTTCGGTTCTTGATTTAGCAGCAATTTCATTGATAGAATCAGATAATTGATTAAATTCTTCTTCGAAAGTCCAGTCAGTTTGAGACAGAACAATCGCTTAATAATAATAATAATTAATAATAATAATAAACAATATTAATTAAAAGAAATCGGAAACAGATTTTTTTACTTGAATTAAATAAAAACTTAATTTTAATTACCTTCAGCGTTATTTTTGAAAAAGGTTTCAATATCTTTGCGAGCATTGGATACCACCTCAGCAAAATCATACCCTTCCCCTTTTAATTTTTCCTATGAATTAAAATTGCGTACTTAAGATTCTGTTCTTTTATTTAAAAAAAATTTGACTGATATATACCTGGATACGAGCATTGAATGTATTAATAGCTTTCTTGGTAAGGTTTTTCAATTGACCCAAGAAAAATACATGTAATTGTGAATTTGTTTTGTTAAGTATTTCTTGACGTTTACGTTTGTATACTTCCGAAAGATAACGAGATGCCTCTTTATCAAATTGTTCTAACAGTTGTAAAGAAAATTTAAAAAGTTATAATACTAATTTATATTTTTAACTATATTTAATAAATATGATGGAGAACAAACAAGTAGTTACTTATTGTCGCATTTCGAATCTCCTCCATTTGTGGACCTAGATCTTCTATGATTTTGCCAGCTTCGATAGGTTGCCGAAATCCTTTTATTTTCCCTAAAAATGCATCAAAAGCAACCTTGAAATAGAAAATTTTTACAAGAATATATAAGTTAGGAATACCGTTTTTTTGCGTATAATGAAATAATGACGATTATTATTTACCGTTGCTATTTCGTCACAGCGATATTGTGCAAGAAGTTCTTGTTGTGTTGGCAAATCAAGATCCTTATTGGACATAATTTGGTCCTGTAAAAAGTGATTAAGAAAAATGTAAATAATAAATATTTAAAGAATTATTAGTGATTTACTTTTCATACCCAAATTCCTTCCGCATAAACATGAAATCCGTCGGCAGGTACTCGTTTACTATAATTCGGCTTGAAAACGAACTCCTTATGATTTGGATTAGCAAACCTACCAAAACAAATTAATTATAAAAATTTCCATCAAATCTTATGAGACAAAATTTTAAAAGATCATATACTATACCTTTCTCGCAATTTGATTACGTCTTCCTCGAATTTGGCCGGTAAGAGCAGTTTATGCGGTAATGCCGCAAACATGAAATCGAAATAATCCGTGATGGTACAACTTTCCAAACCTTCAGGCTATTGGATAAAAGATACGAATGAGAATCGTATGATAAACGGTATGTAAAACAAATAAAAACAAAAATCCTATAATTACTTTAGAAACACTATCCCAAATTTTTTTAAGATCTTCAGTTAATGTATTAGACAAATTTTCCAATGGTGTTGTTCCCACATGATCTCTGATTACAAATAATAACAGTGTCTTCTCTTTGCTAATTATTAATAATAATAAAATTTTAGCAATTCGTATTGTAAGATGTGATTTATGATTGATAAAACGAACGTACCCTCTTGCTGCTTGGAATAATTGTAAATTAACCTCAAAAACAGTTTTCAGTAGGCCCATATTGGCACCTTGATATAAGCCTACTTGATGTTCCCATAGATTTACGATAATTACATTGGAAGTGGCCATGGAAAATAATGCACTTTTTCTTTCGAAATCCTATAATCAAATTATGATGAACACGCTTTAAATACTCTCATTTTAACTTTTAATTTTATTCATTACTAATTAACATTGAAGGAATACCTGATCTTCACCACGTTCTCGACCGTCTGTACCTTCAACGTCCATGATCAAAACATTCATGTCTTTGCCACGACTCATCCAAATACCTAATTAACAGCATAGTTCAAAAAAAATATATATTAAAGCAAGATTTAGCTTGAATTATTTCAAATAAAATCATACCTTTGGTAGTCTGACGACGAGAATTTTCGTTCATTACATCAAAATTAGTTCCGAAAAGTCGATTTAATAAAGTACCTGAAAATCGAAAAATTAATGAGACGTTATGTAAAAAAATTGATTTATATAAGATAAATAGAACTTACTTTTTCCAGTACTTTGCGAACCAAAAACTGCCACCAGATTATAATTAAACCCCGCATCGGCAATTTGCCATTCATCTTTCATGAACGATGGCAAATCTTTTCTGAAAAGTTTGTAAGCAATTAATTTATATATATAAATAAAAGCAAATACAGAACGAACAACAACTTTAATAAACATACGAAAATTCCTGCTTTTCGTCAATTATTTGTAAGCGAGGTAAGATCTTTTTATGAACACCATTGGTCTCATTTGTTGCACCATTCATTTTACAGCTTACAGTAAATTGAAATTTTTTTTTACTTGAATTGAATTCTAAAGGAAGTAAGCTCTTTTGATAATAATGAGCTCATCAAAAATTGATGTAGGAAAATAAATTTTTCGCTAAGAGAACAAATATTTAAACCGTAATACCCTGTATTAACATGTGATATACTGAAAATTATTTCCTCTCCCTGACAAATTGACGATGATGGTTGATGATCTCATGCACAACAATTTTATGATTGGCCCAAAATTTAGTTAGAGTTTTTCTCAGCCTGACGGGAAGGTCTTTTTTTCACCAGTAGGAAAGAACAATTAGAACCTTACATTTAATTGTTAAAGGGGATGATTATTAGGATGAATTTATAAATGATCTGATTAAATAGCATAACGAATGTTAGCATATGATTTATGTTCATTGTTCTAACCTTCTTGTTTGTGATCTAATAACCTTTTAGTAAAAAAATTTCAGATTACGTAGCAATTATCACAAGTTCGGTACTTCATTTCTTAGGCTATGATTGATTAACACTATTAAAAAAAATATTTGAATATCTATTTGTAAAATTTGTGAAATTAGATATTCAAATATGAACTCTTTACATTTAAATTTTAAAGTCATATTTAAATCTCAAAGGGTAATTTGAATCTTCTAAATCAAATTGCTAATTTTGATAGCGTAACAAATTTTATCACAAATTTAATTAGTTTAAAATGTTTATATATATAAATTTAATACACAAATAAAAGTAGTATAAAAAATGCTATCTAGAGCTTAATATTAAATGATTCAAAATTATTTTTTAAATATTTTTAAATATTTAATTATCAATCTAAATTATAAATAGCAATATGAATGCATTTATAAAGGTATTTTAATATATCTAGAACTATAAAATAATAAAAATTATAAACTCTAATATAATAAACTAATTATTATAAATAACTGATTAATATAATTATATTTAATTGATAATTAGTAGATTATTTATTTATATCTAATTAAAAAATTTTTAATTTTATTTAATATATAATTTTATTTATAAATATTTTTTTTAAAAAAAATATATACAGTCAACTCTTGTTATAATGAACTTTATATCTTAGACCTCAACTTCATTATAAGGCTATAGTAAAGATTTTAAGAAATTTGATTGGTAATTCATTATAATAAAAGTATTTTTAATATATTTGTTCAAAAAATTTGTTATATCAAGAGTTCATTATATTAAAAGTTAACTGTATATATTAATAATAAAAAATAACTTTTATTTTTTAGATTATAGAAATTTATTATTTTTATAATTTATTTTAACAAAAAATTAAAATTTAAATTAATTTATAAATATTTAAATTATAATAATTTTTATTTATTAATTATCTAATAAATTTAAAGTTTTTTATAAGTAAAATTTTTATATTAATAAATTTTTTATTAATATTTAAAAAATTTATATTTAATAATGTTAATCAAAAAGAATTAAATAAATAAATGGTTAAATAAAATATTATAAAATTTATTGTAATAAATAACTTTAATTGTTTAATTATTATAACTTTTATAATTTACAGTCTACCCTTAATATAGCGATATAGCTATTTTGCATTTTAACTTTATATAATAAATTAGCAAAGAATTTGAAGAATTTGATTAGTTACTTCATTAAAAAGAGGAAAAATCAACATATTTAATTGGTTAAGTATTACGTAATTAATTATATCAAAATTTATTATATTAAGAGTAAATTGTATTAATAATTTTATAATTTTATTAATTATAAAATTTTTTAAATATATAAATTTTAAAAAAATTTTTAAAAAAATTATTATAAAAATTTTTTTAATTTTAATTTAAAATTAAAAACTTTTTAATAAATTTAAAATATCTTTTAATAAGTTAATAAAAATATATTAAATAAAATTTATACTTATTTTTTTTAACTTTATATGTAATTTATTTATCTTATAATTTAAAAAATAGTTTAAAATATTTTTTTTATTTTTAATAATAATAGTAAATTAATTTTTTATTAAATATTTAATTAATAATAATTTTAATTTAATTTATAAAATTTTTAAAATTGATTTATAAATAAATTTTAGTTTATTATTAAGTTTTATTAAAATATTTTTAATTAAAAATTAAAAATAAATAAAAAAAATAAATATTAATAATTATAATCAATAATTAAAATCTTTTAAAATTAAAAATTATATTATTTTTATAAATTACTAATAAATACTCATTGTTTACATTAATAATTAATTATAGTTAATTATACTTAAGATATCAGTGCTGCTATCAATAATCAATATTTTTAAATATAATAATTTTACTATGAAAATATAATTACTTATCAATCACATGATATTACATAAATATCTGAAAAGAGAAACTTATATAACTAATTTTGAGACTTAAACTCAAATTTTACTGAAAAATAAATCGCTTTTTTGTATTTATATAATATTTTATAACTATATAATTAATTTATGTAGAGTAATCTAAATGTGATATCTCGTGATCATGTTATTAAATATATAAATAGATAGATATATAGTTTCATTATAAAAATATAATTATTTATTAATTACATGATATTATATAAATATTTGAAAAGAAAAACTTATATAACTGATTTTAAGACTTAAACTCAAATTTTACTGAAAGATAAATTGCTTTTTTATATTTATATAATATTTTATAACTATATAATTAATTTATGTAAGGTAATCTAAATGTAATACCTCATGACTGTTAATATTTTTAATTATATAGATTACAGTCTACTTTTAATATAGTAAATAATCATTCTATACTTTAACTTTATTATAGCATATTAGCAAAGAATTTAAAGAATTTA